AAAAAAAAAAAAAAAAAAAAAACCTACACAAGAAACACCAAGAAAAACCTAAACCCATTTAAAACCAATTTACCCCACCGTCCTTATAAATCTAGTCAACGTGCATGAGTGTTACACTAACAGAATTAACGACAGATATATTTTATTACACACAAAATTAAAAATTTCAAACGCTTGACAAAAAACTTATAGTTTAAGGACTATAAGTACATTTATATCGCCTACACTTTGCTAGATTAATATTTTATTTTGGCACATAAGAAGAGAACAGCATGACTTACAATGGCTCCATGAGAAGCAAAGTAAAAGGAAAGAGTTGTGACTTACAGGTGTGGGCAGGTCTCTTATCAAGTTCTGCACCTGAGATTCGCTTGGCTATTGTTCTTTGGAATCGATGTTCAACTGCTTCAATGATCTCCGTAAGCTGGCTTGAACTTGGAGTTATATTTGACATCATTGTCTCAGTAAGGGACTTATGGGAGGTCAGGATCCTAGCTCATCTAAACTAATTTACTCAGTATGCATGAACCGATATTCTCATCTTAGTTAACGACTTCTATGAAGCATCGACACTTTAGTTTAAATGACATGACAATGTGCCTATGTCTTGTGTCTGTGTACGTGCTTCAGTCTTTAGTCTATCTTGGTGCAATGCAGTAGAAATATTAGAGTTGTTTAATCTAACTTGGTCGTCTCATCACCAATACTTGCAGCACAAATTTCTAGATAGCATTAGCCGTGATTCATTTGGGGCTGAAGTTGACTCTCATGACTGCAAGATGTATATCATGACGCATATCCCCTTGTTCCATTCTGAATCTTAGACAATGCTCAGAGACGGGAAGGCCAAGAGATTTAGGAAGTTGTGAAAGAGCTAGATTATGTCATTACTTAAATAAAAAGGGTATCTAGTTTCTCGATCTCTATTCCTTTATGTAAAAGGTAATCAAAAGTCGAGAGATTCGTATCCAACATGAGTCCTTTAAATCAACTAGTCTCTCTTTATAAGTGACTTCTGAGTGATAATAAAATATGTTGTGAAGTATTATTGAAGGGTGTTCCTATCTAGAACCTATCAGTTATACTATTGAATCTCTTTCTTAGTATCAACAGAAAATTTATACTATTAAGCTTTCGTCCAAATTTTCTACAAATTAACGTACTAAGTTCTACAGATCAATGTAATAAATTTTCCAAAATACTTACCAATTTTACTCAAAAACCATCCCTCAACAGCATCTTAATCTGAAGCCCTGTCAATCTTTTTCCCCAGCATTTGTTTGTAATTCAATGAAATCGTGTAAGAACATTATTTTTAATAATTCTTCACAGGAAAATACCTAACATAATGTAAAATATTGCAACATTTGCCAAATCTAAAAGTAGTCATCAAATTTGCAAAAGGGAACTCAAGTAATTGTGGAAACAAAATTCATGCTCATGCAGAAAGATACAGGCATAATATAAACGAGCGCATAATAAGAACAAAAAGAAAGATCTGTAAGGATACAACAGACTGAAAGTACTTTAAATGTCTTTATTTCTAAATAATTCACATGTTTATTGAGCAAATTTCCCCTGTTAATGCATTTGACCCATAATTATCTTCATCAATTTTCAAACTGAGAATAGAGAAAGATGGATGCTTACACCGCTTTGGTTTCGCTCTAGTTTTCCTGCGTAAGTGTTGTACTTTCCATAGCTCAAGCCATTGCCACGATATTCATGTGGCTTGATGCACACCAAGACAACTCTGCTGCAGTTCAAGAGCAATTCTGATGCACTCCGCCATAGGACAGTTCGTCTTGATTGCATTTGAGGCAATATGAGACCTACTAGCAGCATATCCAGCCTGCAACAACAAAAAGCCTCAGAAAGAGAGAAAAAAGAAAAGAGAGAACTATTTTTCTCTTCACGCATCTACATTCCACGCAAAATCCTGTTCTCTAGCTATGAAACGCAAACACTCTAGTTCGGGAAACTGTCCACACTCAACGTGTATAGGACATTTCTACACATGTTGAACACGTGATGTACTTGTAAGTACAGTAGACAAGTACACATGAGTTAGACATACAGACTTTAAATTCTCTTGTATGAAAATGATATAGTTGTAAACTATATAAATTTAAATAAACGTATGCAGGCCACATTTATGTCCTATACTCATAGAAAACCCGTCATGTCTATGCCAACATTTTTTTGATTTCCAGCATGTACTAGAATCTCATGACAACAAAAACAGTTTAGCCGTGTGGGCAATAACATGCATCACACAATTTATCAAATCTTAACTACCTATATTCTCACCTTGATCATCTCGCTCATCATGGTATTGAGGGGAGGCGAATTTACTTTTGCTCGACTTGCCACCTAAGCATGGGGGGTTGAGAGATCACGTCTTACATTGTCGGTCCAGAAACAGAAATGAAATATTAAACCATGAGAAAATAAACACCTCGTCCATTTTGATGTACCCTACTGGTAGTTTGGAGTCACTCTCATCCACCATTTGCCCCAGAAGTTTCTCAAGATCCTTCCCTTGGCCATTGCCTATCCATTCCCACTGCATAGCCAAGGTCAACATGTCTTCAATGTAGTCTGCACTGTGTAGAGGTCCAGTCCAAAGAGGTCCCGAAACCACAAGTGACTCGGAAACCTAACATGAAATTTTTTTTAATGTATCTCCAACTACAAGATTAAATGTTGCAAGTATTTACATTAGAACGAAAGCACCCAGTGAATAAGCAAACAACAAATTCAAGCATATTCAACTTGAAGCCATGGCTATCTGGACCATGCAAATTATACGAGGAACTTTCGGTATCAGTTTAAAATATGGAAGCTGCTGAAACCAGTGGATGCTTAAGCTCAAAAGAGTAGCAGAATGTCAATCATAATCATTGTCTTACCCTTGTATCATTGCAAGGGCAACTCATCTGTCCAACCTCACTCCAGGAAAAAGCTTGTGAATTTCCACATTTTTTGCAATAGCTGACGAAACCATAATGCCTGACATAAATAGTGGGATCATGAATCAAGCATCATCAATTATCATACAAGATACATCCAGCACTAGCAGACATTCTAAACTCGTCAACTATCACCTGTTTTTATTGATCCTCCCTCGATTGATTCGAAGCATAACTCTAAAAACAGGTCCATGGTATGAATAATATGAAAAGAGTGGCGTTACATAGAAACCCAGTACAGAAGCTTCACGTGCAACCCCACCTATAAGCATTCGCAAACCAATTTCATTTGAAAATGGCATGGGACGCACATATGCTCCATATGCAGCTAAAGATCTAGAAAGAGAGAAAAAAAAAAAAAGAAAAGAAACAAGAGAAAGGAAAAAGGAATTTTTAATTACCACACCAGCCATAGTATAGCATACACCTTCATGTAATTACCCTCCAATATTCAAACTACTACTTAGCACTCATTTCGCTTGTAGACTTAAAACTTAGCACAAGGGTACAAGTCAAAACCAAAAAAAAAAAAAACAACACTCGGAATGGTTAGGATCAATTCTGTTAGTCTTGGTATGCCTTTTCAATTTTGGCTGGTTTTGTCAGTTAAGCTTTTTAAAAATTCGGCTCTATCTTCAGTTTTAAAATTTTCTTAAACCAATACGTCGGCTTTAAGACTCAATAAGAGATATAGAAATATTAATTGAGAGCTAATACCATATGAAACTACTAAAACTTCAAACTAAAATAATGTTATATATTCAATCATTTATATATAGATAAAAGCCCTTACATTGATCAAGATTTTCAACGAAGCGGTTAAAGCAAACAAGTATTGGAATACAAATTGTAACAGATAAGATTGTGCACTCACTGAGAAGGGTGATGACCGCCGGAAGAGAAACCATCCGTGGACGTAACATAGAGCAATCCATCCAATTTCAACGCATTAATAGCGGGCCTCAAAAACGTCGAATCACTCCCAAAGGAATCAACATCAATAAAATCAAAGAAATCCTTTTGCAAATAGAACTCCGACATAACCCTGTTCGCATCACAATTGGTAACCATCCACCGCCGAGTCTCCCCAAAACCTTCCGCAACCCTCGATAGATTCTTTACTATAACCCCCCGATTTTCGTCATTGGCGTCATTCGCCAACACAAAATCAGCCTCAGCCTCGACCAAGTACCGAAGCGACCGAATCCCGCAACCGCACAATGCGTCGAGAACCCGAAGACTTCCCTTGGATTTACGGTAAAGCGCCGCCGCGAGTACGCCCAAGTCGCGTCCGGTGGCGCTTTCATGGCGGAAGAAGGTGTCTCCGATGTCGAATTCTATGCCCCTTTCGGTGCGATTGTTTGGGAGGCAATTGTTGAGGGGTTTTTTCTGCGACTGTGAAAATTGGAAGAGATGAATCGTTGAAGAGGAGAAGCAATGGGAAATTGTTTGTTGGGTGCGAAGAAATGGGGAAGGAGATAGGGTATTCAGCATCACAGTTAACATGGCGGGAAGTCGTTAGATTCTCCATTTTCATGGATTTTATACGGAATTTATTTCTTTATAACCAATTTTTATTTATTTTAATATATGTACTTTAAAATTATTTATTTTTGTCCATAGCCTTCAAAAATTAATTATTTTGATCCTTATTTTCAATAAAAATCTTTACAATGATTTTCAACTCCGCCATCACTTGAAAGCATATTTCGGAGGCTAAAAACCCATATGGCCACCATGACCATGGTTGACTAGGGCGAGGCTAAGGTGACCTCAAGTATTCTCCTGACTCGAGACAACTTTGTGACTTCAACTCAATCTCATTCAAACCAATCGAAAGGGAAAAATTGGAAACCCACAAGTAAGTCTCGAACAGAACCTCTTTCTGACCCTAGCTTGCTACACCGTTTTCTTTGATCTTTGACTTAAGCATCAAGGGGTATGTGACAAACACCATATAGTTTCGGTTCAATAGTTCGAACAAGTTACAGAAAACGTATTTGAAGCACTAGAAAAATAACAACATTGAGCACACAAACAAGTACTTTACAAGAATAGAAACCCTTTCCCTTGCATTTCGTCTCAGTACCCAATTTGACTTAGTTTAGTATTTTTACAAAGCTGAACCAATAGAGACCATACAACAACTTGCACAGAATAGCTGCAATGCATCAGAATGAGGGTAACCCAATTATTATACCTGAATCGTGGGAGAAGGATAACTTATGACTTTGCTATCCTTCCTATATTTGAGGCAGTTGATGATGGATACGATAATCTACATTTCAGCACGGGACGTGGCTGCAGGCGTGAAGATGAACATTTTACAGTCGTGAGCGTCGACATCTGCTCCAAACGATGCCACTGCATCTCCTGCAACATCTTTGTGCTGCAAAAGTCATCGTACCGAGTTAGCACAAAAAAAATTAGCCTGTTGCAAAGCGAATAGACGTAAGCGAAGGTGGGTGGCTATTATTCAGCGAAATTATGAGTTTGTATGAGCTCATTGCTCTCCTACAGTCCTACTAAGATAGGTTTTGTTTTGTTAGAGGTCAGTTCAGATGTTCTATCATGTGTTATCCCTACTCGAGTGTCCGAACCTGATCTCACATATTATCTCAAGTGATCAGATCCCTTACCAGCCACAAGTCTCTTACGGAGACACTAGTGCCAGGTTTAAGCCCAAGTGTGTTCCAATCCGTGGTGATCGTTGATGCAACTGAACATCGATTCCAAAGAACGACAGCCAAGCGACTTCCAGATAGAGGACCTGCCCAAACCTGTAAGGCAACTCTTTATATTCTGAAACATTCACACCTAACTCAGCCAGCTAACATAGCAAGTTTGCAAGGTAAAGATAATTCCAGATATTAATGTGACATTGTTCTTCATCAAATACAATCTATAAGATAATGCATAAACTGGATTACCTGAAGGCAACCATCCTTTCCAAAAACTTTAACCTTTCTTCCCTGTACCCCAAGAGGATCTGCATATAATAACTAATTATTAATTACGGCATCGTTTCTTTCTTTAAGGATGTTTTCGAAACCCAAACAAGTTTTGAAAACGAAAAAAAATCGTTTTAAAAACTTATTTTTTGTTTTTTA